TTGTCAAGTAACTGTCCTGTGAGGAAAACAGTGGAGTGAAGACAGAAACCAAACTTTTTCACATGAACTCTTTCACAAGAAAAACAACTACCACAAACCCACTTCTGCACTAGCCTTTCTATTTGGAAAGAACCTTTTGCCTAGTTATAATTAATTTCTTTATGTGAAATCCTTGAGAAGCTCTGTATATTGTCAACCTGAGTATTCATAAGCTCTACATGCAGTGACTATTAATTCAATAATGTCTTCATAAAGTCACATATCTCTTTCCAGGACAGTGAAAGCTTTCCACAGAAAAGTCAATTCACTCGCCACATTAACCAGCTGACCATGGTGCATCACCACCAGTACAGGTCATCTCCCTGTCCTTCACTGTCCCTCCAGCACCCACATCTCACCCACCTTCCCTTGCTCTCATCACCCCAATTTGACTTTCCCACTCAGCAGTCTGCTGAATTCATATGCAGGCAGGAGGACAAGAACAGCCTCTTTCCCTGCAGCAAACTCATGAAGAACAAGCAGAACAAACTGAGTTTTGGGTTTTGCTGTCACACAGTCCTCATCCTGCTCACTTCTGCTGTTGCGGGAACTTTGTCCATGTTTAACACTAGCAGGTCTTTGGAAAGAGACACTGAGGAAAATATTTCTTTATGAAGCCTAAGTTATTTCAGAAGGCAAAATCTGACTCATGCTCCTGTTAAATTGCAAAAGCAGTTCTAAAAACCTCAGCCTTTTTCTGAGATGGATTTATATATGTAAAGTACTTGACATCATAAAACATAAATGAAATTACACAGCTGAGCAAGAGCAAAATACATAGTTAGCTAAATAAATTACCTACATCAATAGATATAACAATGAAACCCTGTTTTCAGGAAAGAGCTATTGCCTTAGACAGGGATTCTTTCACAGCTTTATTTAACCATGGTCAAGGCTGAATTCCATACAGATACTTTTAAGAAAATGTGACTTGTCACAGTACAGCTTTACAAAATTACACAATCAATATAGAAAAATAAAACCACATCACTTACAATCCATGGGACTTTGGGTAAAATATTTTTTGGGGTACAGGGGTTTCTCCTTCTGGAATTTGTTGCACTGAGAGATAAAGCAATGGTAGACAAAATCCCAGATTTAGCCCTGTATAACTCAAAACAATTTTACAAAACAATACAGTTTTACAAAACAAATAGGGCTGGATGAAGTCTTATTTCTTCATATCCTCTCCCTGTTGCAGAATCAGTCCAATTTATGACATTAAATGTTTATCTAACATTTTCTTAGACAGAATAATGGGGAGTATAAACTTTTCAGGCAATTTGTTCACCTTTATTTGAGAAAAAAGAAAAAAAAATCTTCCAGATGTGGCTCTTTATTCATTCTGAAGCCTTGAACTCCTGCTTAACTCACCCTAAACAGAGATAATAAGCTCCTTCCTACCTAAGCCCCCTAAAGGTTCTTCTTCTCTAGTCTAGACAAACTCAATCTCTTCAAACTACTAACATTGAACAAATGCTACCACAAATCAAATACTCCTGTCAGTCAAACAAACTGTGGAAAAAGTTAATTTTGCTCTTAATGACTTTGTATATTATAAATAAATAAATTATTGTCCTACCTGATTTTTTAATGTACATTGAATTTCTTCAGTCTCTTCTTACTGAATGCATTTCTGCTGTAGGATGCCAATACATAAATCTGTTATACTATTATGCTTACTTCTTATTTTCTTTTCTTTTAATCACTGACAAAGCTATTTTAGAATATTTGCTAAAATTTTCCAGTTCAAAAACCTTTTTTGTTACTCATGGAGCACTGTACAGCTGTTTCACTCACCTTGCATCACAAATGTTGGAGTCACCATCAGAGGCATTTTTCCAGAACTGACATATGGTTTGCAACACTGAAATTCCAATGTATATGTAACTTCCCTTTAAAGAAAGGAAAACTGCAAAGAATTTCTTAAAATATAAAGTACTATCCAAGAAGAAGATGGAGATGTGTATGAGGGAAGCAATATGTTGTATCTGTATTAGCAGCCTGATCTGTCCCTGTTACTCACCCATTAGATTAATTTTCCATAGTGGAAAAAACAGGTAACCTGTTTCAACAGTGCTACTTAAAACTGGCCACATGAGGAGTCCTAATCTGTATCAAGGCTCATGCTTTGCAGCTGATCAGACAAATATCCAGTGCAGGATGATTCCAATATGACACAGATGTCCAAACTTCTTTGATCATGAAATTCAAGTAAAAAAAAATAAAAATTAAGCACAATCTCTCAATATATGCATGTTTATTTGTAAACAAGTTATATAGATGTACTACTGTAAAAACATATTATGTACATTATAAAACCTACAAGAAATAGGAATTTAAAAGGATGAGACAAAGATGAAAGAATCATTCTTTTAAAAACTCCTATTTTTATTTAATTTGTTAATGGTACAAAACATATTTTTCCTGCATTCCCCTGTGTTGTGTTTCACACTCCTTGGGGTACAGACACCCTGTTTTGGAGACAACTAACAAACACATCACATTAGGTAATGCCAGCAATGTTTACAGGCTCCTTGGACCTCTGTTGTTCCTGTCAAATCATTTCTATGCTAAAGTTTAATCCTAATGTTAAGGTGTTTGCATTTGTTTTCCTAATTTATTAAACCAGAGAACTTCTCTGCACTGGTAGCAGTGGCCCATGCTAAGCAGATCAGGTAAGAATCCCTGCTGACTGGTGCAAATGTCTGAAACTGGGAAAAGGCTGTCCTCTTTGAGGTATAGATGGGATGTTGAAAGAAATTATTACCTCAGCTATTTCATTCATATTCAGCAGATTGATCTTTAGGGTCTCTTCCAACCCAGTCATTTGGAGTCATCATTTAACATGAGCTCTTCTAAGGAAACATCGTATATTAAGCAGTAGAAGATAGAAGCAAAAGAGATTGGAGTAGTAAAATACACAGCAGCTTCCAGAAAATTAGTAAAAATGAAAAAAAAATCTGTATGTCCAGCATGACTTTGTTCACACAAGAAATACAAAAACCTGAAAGCATCAGAGGTGAAAAGATTCAGAAGTGAGAAGTAAGCTGGGGCTTTCCAAGAAGTAGGAGTCAGAAAGGCTTGATGATTAAAACCAGTACATATTCAGAGTTCTTAATATAGAATCAAAAGCTCAATGTTAGTTTTATCTGCATTACTCTTGAAATAAATTAAAAGTATCTGGTAAAAATAGTGATGCTAATAATAATTTCCCATAATTAATGCAGTTCTGAATTAGTAATACTTAGTAATGTTTTACTTGCAGATATGTCTCTCTCTCTTTCTTTGGGCTACAGTCTATGCTTCAGCACCCATGCCTTGCACTCCTCATCCCTCTTGGGGCTTAGTCACTCAATTCAAGTTACATTCTATTTTTCCTGTATTAGGCTGTTCTCCTGTTAGTGATCTTCAAGGTGAAACTTCAGTTCTGAATATTAGTATTTTTTATCTTTCTTGTCCATTATCTACATAAGCTAAATGTTATAGTATAGTTATCTATGCATTCTTTGTGTTTTGCCCGCATTCCATTACTCTTTAATGGGGCACTGGAATAGGCTCAGACATTGCTGCTAAAACATGGAATTGATGCCAGTCATTTATACTTACACCAGATCTACCAAGTATCTCTGGGCTTTTTGGATTAGTGAGACTTTTAGTGGGCAGGGCAGGCTGAACCTACAGATGGGATCTTGTCTGCTTAAAAGGTCTTGTCTTCTTCAGAACTGTAATTCTTCAATTTTAATAATACAGTTTTATGGCTTTAAAAAACCCAAATAAACTCTTTATGGTGTCAACAGTTGCATTTGAAATTACTCTTGTGGAAGCTGTCAAAAGAAATATCCTTTAGTGTTATTAACTTGGTGTTCTTTTTGCTACAGAAAGGTCAACAGCTCTTGCCTTTCACTCCATAAGTTACTAAGAAAATGTTTGTATATAAAAAGTGTACATAAAAGCATGAGATGCTTTCATGATTGGTGTCAATCTGTAACATGCAATACTATGGAGGAAATACTTGATTTTCAAGCATTAATTTGAATCCAATTAAAATATTTTCTCCTACACAGACATTGGAAAAAACGTAGGAAAAAACTTTAATTTTCATTTATTTTACATTTTCATTTATTTTAAGTGATAGTTCTTGAAATCTGTCATTATGTGAAAACATTTCATGGATGTATGTATAAAAACTGAAATAACCAGCAATGCATCTGACAACACAGCACTAAAATTTTTAAAAAACACATTGTGCTAACAAGTATAGTACAATGTGTTTTGGCAATTAAATCTAATTTTTATGTTTTATAGGTTACAGCACACTGTAGTTTGACCAGACAGTTCATAAACCAATACCACAACAGATGTCAATACTGCCTCAGTGAAAGCAAAAAGCAGAAATGTTGCCATTTCTGTTTAGTGTGAGATAGATGGCAGTGGGCACAGGCAGAGAGATCAATTAGTAGAAAATTATCTGCTTTGCATCCTACACAGTGCTTCAAGGCTGATTCTCTGCCATAAGGCTGTGTTAGAGAGAGTGAAACTGGATATTTATATTGTCATATTCTATTGCTTTAAGCAGAATGCAATAGTTAGACTTGTATAGAACTAGGTCTGGGAAGTGATTATTAATCCTAGTTAATTGAAGCTGCCCTACTAATTAGCATATGTATTACATCTAATGTTATGTATTATTTCCAAGGCAGCTGATCTGTCACACCCACTAACTTCAGTGACACACAGAACAATCCAAACAAGAAAGAGCAGAGCTAATGAAAGGAAATGGAGTTATTTGTGGAGCTGTTTCTTACCATGGGAAATAAACCAATGTATTTCAGGTTCATTCCTCCATTCCTACCCACTTAAGGGATTAATTTTGCTTTGTGGGGAGAGGCTCTTTAGAGCCTAAAACCAACATTGTAATGTCTGTTCAACAGTTATGCAATCATTTCATCCGAGAGATTCTTCTGTGCTCCTGCTTCCCCTTCCAATTTCCATTCATCAACTGTTCAACTGCACAGTGAATCATTCAGTTTTCCCTCTGTGGGAGACAATAAAGAGATATCCCCTGATCAGTGACAACAGAAAACCAAAATAATATCCAAAGGAACTACAGGGTGCAACATATTCTGATTCTAAAAGGATATGCACCAGGAGCATTTCTGGAGTAGTAGCAAAAATTTAGATGAACACACTTAGATGAATCATTCTCCAAGAGATACAGCTAAGTTTTAAAATAAAAAAAAAAGGTTTTTTTCTCTGATGTGTTTCAGAAAGAAAGGAAGATGGAAGGAAAGGAAATGAAATTATGCTGGGAATGTTGTTTTATTTTATGTAAACACCCATGTAACATCTTGTGTGCAATTCTGCAAATGACCACTAAGGTCAAGAAAAAGGTGCATTTCAGGAAGAGCAGGAGATAGGACCGTGTGTAGTTGGGAGGATTATATCCTCTTCTAAGAAAGGAAGAATGATCTGTATTCTGGCATGAACACAAAATCTAGTATCTGCTGTTTATAGCATATTTTAATTGTGCTTATGAATAGATCTCTTATATGTAATAACAAGCACTCCCCCTAGTGAACTTCTGCGGGATTTGGTGTTTTAGCTACGGAAGGTACAGAACAGAGTGAATAGGCAAAGTGACATCTCCCATAAGACTCTTTGTTGAAGTCAGAAAAACGGTAAAAGCTTTCAGACATGATAGACAGTTTGTAAGGTCAACAGCACAACGTATTTGACAGAGTTGGAGAAAATCAATGTCTTACAGTAAAAACCAGATTTACATGCATAGTTGCATTTTCAGACACTGTCCCTTACAGATGTTTCCTTTGCTGGTTCATCCTTCTGCCTCGTTGGTGTCATATCCTTTACTGACCTTCACTTCAGACTCTGAAAACCAAAGAGAGACATTTCATTTACTCAATTAAGTATCTCATTGAAAAAATAAAAATGAGATTAACATATCTGCCCAACATAACAGACTGCATTGCAGCAGAGACAGTTTACCCTTTCTATACTGTAGTACTGATGCTTGATTACATCTTTTAAAAGGTGTGTACATTATCAATACTTCATCTTGCTCATTTAAATACAATGTTTGTAATAGTTCTTTTGAGTATATCAGAAAAATAGACTGTGACAGCTTTTAAAGTTGTGGCTGATGTCCTGTCATGAGTAACCTCAATGCTGCTATTTTGTAACTTTTCAGAGCATTGTTCTAGTCTTTGAGTTTAAAATACAGAATATTGATTTTTGGCACAGTCTTGAGCAGTGGGTCTATCATTATGCACAGGATTCAAAATCATTGCCATATGCAGGGTCTCCCTGTGCTGCTGCTGAAACTCCCTGGAACAAATCTGGCCTAGCTTTGTGTGCTCCCAAGGGCAGGTTTGTAGGAGAAGGTGCGACATACAATGCAGAAGCTCTCAGACTACAAAGCACACACTGTTTCAAATGTTGTTGGTAGTTCTTTATTCTGTGTTAATACTGCTACTTTACCATAACAGGAGCAGAGTAGGGCCAGCAGTTACCAACACCTGTGGTGTGAAGTAGCACCTCTGCAAAACAGCTGCGTTTTCACTGCAGCTGCTGCATTGAGGGTGACCTCCTGCACTATGGTCAGTGGTGCTTCAAAGGCACTATTTACACCCAGCCTGCTGCTGAAGGTTTCTGCAGTCACAGTTTCTGAAACGGTGGAATTCTGTACAAGGCGGGACCCGGAGCCTGTTTCACAATGGTGGAGCAGGGGCAGGTGAGCACAGTCAGCCCTGCTCTGCCTTCCAGGGTCAGGGTGGCCTTGGCTGTGCCCTCATGCACTGGGCTGACAGAGGGAACATATGTCCTATAGAGTGTGTGTCCCATGGAGCACAAGTCCTGTGAGGAGCGGCTGAGGAAGCTGGGGTTGTTCAGCCTGGAGAAAAGGAGGCTCAGGGGGGACTTTATCACTCCCTGGGACCCCCTGAAAGGAGGCTGTAGCCAGGGGGAAGGGGTCGGCCTCTTCTCCCAGGAAACCAGCGACAGGACAAGAGGAAATGGCCTAAAGCTGCGCCAGGAAACGTTTAGGTTGGATATTAGGAGGAATTTCTTCACATAAAGGATGATTAGATATTGGGATGGGCTGCTCAGGGCGGTGGTGCAGTCACCTGGAAGTGTTTAAGGAAAGGCTGGACGCGGTGCTCAGTGCCATGGCCTATGGACACAGTGGTGTTCAGTCAGAGGCTGGACTCCAAGACTCCATGACTCCATGACTCAGAGGTCATGGAGAGAATCAGAATCAGAATCCCACCAAACGGATTCTGTGCAAGGGGGATCATCGCCATGCAGCGAGCCCCAGCTGTCCGCAGACGCCGGGTGTGCGCTTAGCACAGCTCAGCACAGTACAGTACAGCTCAGCTCAGCACAGCTCAGCACAGCTCAGTGCAGCACAGCTCAGCGCACGGAGGGTCCCTGCGCAGGCGGGGAACGCGGCCGCGCCTCCCCCGGCAGCGCTGTCTCCGTGTCCCTAGGCCGGGCGTCCCGCCCCGCCCTGCCGCCAGGCGGCGCCGTCCCGCCGCAGCGAGGCGCTCCCGCAGGCCGCGGCCTCGCGCCACGCGGAAGCGGAAGCGGCGCACGCAGGGTGGTGCGTCCCGGCGGCTGCGGGTGAGGCGGGCGGGGGGTCCCGTCCGGGCAGCGGGAGCGAGGGACGCGGGCCAGGCTTCGCCTGCCGGGGGACGCGCAGGAGCCGGCGGCGGAGGGTGCGGGTGGACCCTGGCGTTGGCGAGGGGCGCTTTTCCCGTTGGCGTCTTCCCGGGGTGTCCCCCCGGCGCCCGGGCTCCGCCCGCTGGGGGCAGCTGCCGGCGGTGGCCGCTGCCTGCGCTGTGAGTCGCGGTGTTGATACCCAGCCTTGTCCCGCCGAGCCTGCTCGGCGCTGCCGGCAGGGAGGGGCGGTGGGTCTTCGGTCTGTTAAATAAAAGGGGCGCTTTTCTTTCGTTGCAGACACTTTCCAGGTCTTCCTTCCGGAGAACGTGAGATCCGCCTCGGCGCCAGCCTTCTGGGGTTCACTGGTTGTTAAGTAGATTTGGGAGCGGTGTGACATCGCGCCGCCAGTCCCTTCCCTCCTGAGAAAGGGTAGCTGCTTTCTGAGCAATCACATACCAACCTCATGTATTCCTAAGACTGCCATCAACTTCTAGTTTTCTGTTCAGAGGCCTTACAGAGATTTAATTACTTATAGGGCTCTAGTGGTTGTAAAGTAATTTAAGATGTTTGTACTACTCGGTTGTAATTATCTAATTCACTCGTGTGTTAAGAGACATCGCTTTAACTTGGGAATGGTTAAATCGCCAAAGAATTAAATTATTTATGGATAAGGGCTATTTTATTTGACTACTGTTGGCCTGCAATTTAAACTTGCATCTTTTATTTTTTTATCCTATGCTTTTTCTTTGTTATGGCTGCTGCAACAATAGTTCATGATACATCAGAAGCTGTAGAGCTCTGTGCTCCCTGTGGGTTATACCTTAAACCCATTACAAAAATGACCATCAGTGTGGCACTTCCTCAGCTGAAGCAACCGGGAAAGTCCATTTCGAACTGGGAAGTGATGGAAAGATTGAAGGGGATGGTGCAAACTCATCAGTTTTCCACTCTGCGGATTTCTAAAAGCACAATGGATTTCATTAGGTTTGAAGGAGAGGTCGAGAACAAAAGTTTGGTTAAATCTTTTCTGGCGTGCCTTGATGGCAAAACAATAAAGTTGAGCGGCTTCTCTGACATTTTGAAAGTGCGTGCTGCGGAGTACAAGATTGACTTTCCTACCAGACATGACTGGGACTCGTTTTTCCGAGATGCAAAAGATATGAACGAAACCTTGCCTGGGGAAAGGCCGGACACCATTCACCTGGAGGGTTTGCCTTGTAAGTGGTTTGCAGCCAAGGAGACTGGCTCAGAAAAGCCAAGTGAAGAAGTCCTTATAAAAGTTTTCCAGAAATTTGGAGAAATCCGTAATGTGGACATACCCATGCTTGACCCTTACAGAGAAGAGATGACTGGCAGGAATTTTCACACTTTCAGCTTTGGAGGCCATTTAAACTTTGAAGCCTATGTCCAGTACCGGGAGTACGCGGGGTTCATCGAGGCCATGAATGCCCTGCGAGGGATGAAGCTCATGTACAAGGGCGATGATGGCAAAGCTGTGGCTTGCAATATAAAGGTGAGAGACTGCAGCCTGTTGTGTGGGAGCCCACATGAAGGACTGAGTACAGCTAAATGTTATTTTCCATAGTGCTTGAAGCCTTTATCTGTACACCACAGTGATGGCAACAGGTGACACTGACAGCATTAATGTGGCTTTATGGGACAGACGTAATACAGTTTTCAAAGGAAAATGTTGGTAGAAAAATGTGCTGTTAGATTATGTAACTAAAGTGAGCGGGGTTTTGCTTTTTTCCTTAACAAGAGTGTTCTAGAAATGAAAAATGCTGATGGAAGGATCAAGTTTATGAATACAATTTTCTAAATTGCTTTAGAAAAGAATATGTGTTTATAAATTGCAATTTCACTTAAAATTCCAGTTCAGAACAAGTTCAGACAAATTTCACCATAAGAATGACTGTAAAGTGCATTATGCTTTCATGTGTTCAGTGCAGAGAGATGTTTTGGGGGAGAATTTCACATTCTGCTTCTGGTCCCTGCATTGATAGCTGGGTCTACCAGTTGAAGGTCAGAACTAAAAGGCTTAGTAGCATGTGGCCTGTCTGGTCTGGGAAATATGCAGTTAATCATCTGTGTACCTGATATACAGGAAGGCCTCACAAAAATTTAAATGATAATTTTCATTTGGAGCACAGCTTCCTGTGAATTTCCTATGCTTATTTCATAATATTTACATACAGAGTTTTCCAGAAGTGATCTTCTGTAACCTCATTGTCTTAGAAATTACAGCTGTGACAGGAGAGAGCAAGGCAGTCTGTTCAGATGTAGTGTCTCTGATAGCACAGCCTCAAGAAAACTTACTGTGTTTGGGAGTGGTCTGTGTATTTATTGGTTGAGTGAAATGTTTGTGGATGTATTTTGGTATGCTCAGTAGTCATTCGTTAAACCAGGGAGTGTATTTCAGAAAAAAACCTTGAGCATTCCTTTGTGCAATGTGGGAATGTGCAGATATTTATTCAAATTGTAGTTTAGTCAGTGTAAGTAAAATACTGCAATTTTTTGTCTTGTTATCAAAGCTTGTCAGTTGTGGGGTAGAAACTGTTCCTTGACCTGGTGAAACTCAACCTGTCATTTACGTGCAGAGGAGGATCAGGGTTCCCAAATTTAGTATGGCTGTGCCAGAAGAGTCATGCCTTCCTGGCAGCTGCTCACTGTCATACAAGGTCACCACACCTTGTCTGTTTGTACCTATTTGTCCCCTCAGTCTGTTAGTGAAACATCATTTTGCATAAAGGCTGAGTAGATTAAACTGCAGAGGCTGTGCTCCTTGTTCTCTGCCCCACGGTTCCATGACCATGGGTCTGTGGAAATGTGTTATGGATCCCTGCCTGTCTGGTGGTGTCCTGTTCCAGCACACAGCAGGACATGACCAAGGTGTGTTCATATATCCTGGAAGCTGAGCGCCTCTGAAGTCTCATTTTTCAGATGTGTGTGTCTTTCTTTTCTTTCTGTTCCCACAACTTGGGATCTTCTGCCCAGTGTACTCAATTTGGGAATCTTGGTTTTAGAAGTGGTGCAGAGGCTTGAACCAGGTGCTGAATGGTGTAGAACTAGGTCTTCTGCTGAATTTAATTTAACAGTTTTAGACAGAAAGGAAGGCCTTTATTTAAACCTATTTTTACATAGTGCTGTACAGTTCCTAACAACTTGCATTAATTAAGAGTTCTGTACGTGCCCGTTCTGACACATTGAAATCATTGGACAGACAGAGCCTCAGCCACACTGGGGTTTATTTTTGGTTGTGAGACATAAAGTGGTATCTGATTTTGCTACATGTGTGCACACATTTAGTACCCAATTACCTGATTGGAATAAGTGGTGCTTTCGCTGGGCACATAGAGAAGTTCCCTTTGTTTTGAAGAACTTTTGAAGAACATTTTACATATCTGATTGTTCTTACACCAAGGTCTAAGTTAAAGTTGTCAGGTTGTAATTTTTAATTTTTTTTTGTTTGTTTCCTTAAAACTGCTTTCAATTGTATTATGTACAGGTTTCTTTTGACTCAACAAAACACCTCAGTGATGCATCGATTAAGAAGCGTCAACTTGAAAGGCAAAAGCTTCAAGAGCTTGAAAAGCAGAGAGAAGAACAAAAACGTAAAGAGAAAGAAGCTGAGGAAAAGCAAAAAGAAGAAGAAAGGTATTTCCCTCTTATTGTTCAGTTATAGTTTTAACAATCAGGCATAAGAAAACTGCTCCTTCATAGCACCATCAAAAGATAGAAAATAAAAAAACACAAGCTGTCTCTAGCTAAAATGAAGCACTTAAAAGCTGAGTGTGGTTTAGTTTACCACTTACGCTTATGTTCAGTTCAGAATATTAAACCTGCAAAATGCTCAATTTCCTAAAAGTCTTGCCTTTAGACACCTAGTTTCAGTACCCTTGGCCTTTAGCAGAAGCTGCCTAACGACAGAAATAAAACCCACCACCACTGCACGCATTCATTTGTTTGGTATTCTTCTTGAGGCTGTGATGATTCTCTGCCCAGCTGCCTCATGCATTGTTAGTATCTCCGGTCAAAGTTTAAAAAACAATTCTTTGCTGTAGCAATTCTTTTTCTTTGAATTCCAACTTATTAAAAATAGATAGAATATGACTGTTTGCTGCCACAAGTAAGGGTTAAAATGTTCAGTTTTCTATTTTGTTCTTCATCAACATGACTTATTTAGAAACAAATTTACTTGAAGTGTAAAATGTATTGAACAGAGTAGAAGTTTGAAATTGTGCTTTGCCTAGATAAGGCAAAAATATTTCTCTTTTTAGGAAGCAGAGAGAGCTTGAAGAATACGAGAGAGAGAAAAAAAGAGAAGAGAAGTTGCGCAAGAGAGAACAGAAACAGAAAGATCGTGAAGTTCGACGGAACAAAAAGCAACTTGAAAAGCTTCAAGCTGAAGAACAGAGAAAACTTCAAGAGAAGATAAAGCTAGAAGAAAGGAAGCTCCTGTTAGCTCAGAGAAATCTTCAGTCCATTAGACTAATTGCAGAACTGCTAAGCAGAGCAAAGGTAATTTAAATACTTACTTCAGAAGCTAATGAAGAAT